GAACTACTTTTCAAAAATCCATGCAAGCAAGAAGAGATGGGAGTAAAATATTTAAAGTGTTGAAAGAAACAAAACCCCACCAACCTAGAATTATGTATTTAGTGAAATTATCCTTCCCAAGTGAAGAAGAAATAGACTTTCTCTAACAAACAAACTGAAGAAATCTGTCTCCAGTAGAACTGCCTTGCAAGAAAGGTGTTCCTTGGCTCGCAGCTCATCACTCTAGTCTTGGCCTCCGTTGTCATTCCCCATCTGTGTCCTGTCTTCAGATGGCATTTTCCTCCTTCTTTAGGGCACCAGCCACGTTGGATTAGGGCCCACTCAAATGATCTCATTTTAATTGGTTATACTGCAAAAGCCCTTTTCCAAATAAGGTCAAATACACATACACCAACGGTGAAAACTTCAACATATCTTCTGGAGAATGCAAGTCAATCCTTAAGAATAGGTTAATGGGCCGGGCGCGGTGGCTCACATTGGTAATCCCAGTACTTTGGGAGGCTGAGGCGGGCAGATCATGAGGTAAAGAGATTGAGACCATCCTGGCCAACACACTGAAACCCCATCTCCACTAAAAATACAAAAAAAATTAGCCGGGCGTGGTGGCACGTGCCTATGGTCCCAGTTACTTGGGAGGCTGAGGTGGAAGAATCGTTTGAACCCAGGAGGTGGAGGTTACAATGAGCCAAGATTGCCCTACTGCACTCCAGCCTGGTGACAGAGCAAGTCTCCATCTCAAAAAAAAAAAAAAAAAAAAAATAGGTTAATGGATAAATAAACTGTAGTATATTCATATAAAGGTACATTTTAAAGCAGTCAAAAGAAAGAAGCTATCAAATCATAAAAAGACATGAAGGAAACTTAAATCACCTTGCTTAATAAAACAATCCAGTCAGAAAAGGCTACATATGGGCTGGGTGCAGTAGCTCATACCTTTATTACCCAGAACTTTGGGAGGCCAAGGCAAGAGGATTGCTTGAGCCTAGGAGTTCAAGACCAGCCTGGGTAATATGCCAAAACCCCATCTCTATAAAAAATACAAAAATTAGCCAGGCATGGTGGTGGTGCACACCTGTAGTCCCAGCTACTAAGAAGGCTGAAGTGGGAGAATCACTTGAACCCAGGAGATCAAGGCTGCAGTGAGCTGTGATTGCACCACTGCACTCCAGACTGGTGACAGAGTGAGACCCTATCTCAAAAAAAACAAAGAAAAGAAAGAAAAGGCAATGTATTGTATGATGCAACTATACGATGTACTGGAAAAGGTAAAACTTTAGTGTAAAAGGTCTGTGGTTGCCAAAGGTTGGAGTTAGAAGAGGGAATGAGGGATGAAGAGTTGAAGCAAAGATTTTTAAGACAGTAAAACTTTTACTTATATACATGACATTATGCATGTGTCAAAAACTATAGAACAGTGTACAACATAAAGAATGAACCCCAATGTAAACTATGGACTTTAGTTAATAATGATATATCAATACTGGCTCATCAATTGAAACAAATGTACCACTCTAACACAAGCTGTTAACAATAGGTGAAACTGTGTGTGGGAGGGAGAGGGAATGTGGAAACTGCAATATCTGGTCAATTTTTCTGTAAACCTAAAACTGTTCTAAAAAATTCAGTCTATTGGCCAGGCACGGTGGCTCACACCTGTAATCCCAGCACTTTGGAAGGTCACGGTAGGAGGATCACTTGAGGCCAGGAGTTCGAGCCCAGCCTGGGCAACATAGTAAGACCCTGTCTCTATGAAAACATTTTCTTTTTTCTTTTTTTTTTTTTTTGAGATGGAGTTTCACTCTTGTTACCCAGGCTGGAGTGCGATGGCGCGATCTTGGCTCACCGCAACCTCCGCTCCCGGGTTCAGGCAATTCTCCTGCCTCAACCTCCTGAGTAGCTGGGATTACAGGCACGTGCCACCATGCCCACCTAATGTTTTGTATTTTTAGTAGACACGGGGTTTCACCATGTTGACCAGGATGGTCTCGATCTCTTGACCTTGTGATCCACCCGCCTCGGCCTCCCAAAGTGCTGGGATTACAGGCTTGAGCCACCGCGCCCGGCGCAAACATTTTCAAAAATTAAGTCTCGCGGCCAGGTGCAGTGGCTCACGCCTGCAATCTCAGCGCTTTGGGTGGCCAATGTGGGTAGATCATGAGGTCAAGAGATTGAGACCATCCTGGCCAACATGGTGAACCCCCCCATCTCTACTAAAAATACAAAAAAAAAAATTAGCTGGACATGGTGGTGCGTACCTGTAGTCCCAGCTACTTGGGAGGCTGAGGCAGGAGAATCACTTGAACCTGGGTGGCGGAGTGAGCCGAGATCGTGCCACTGCACTCCAGCCTGGTGACAGAGCAAGACTCTGTCTCAAAAAAACAAAAAAATTAAGTCTATAATTTGAAGAAAACATTCATTGCAGTATATAAGGCTCAAGCATCACTTCTTCCAGGAAATCTTTCCTGCTGTCCTATCACACTCCCAAGATGGATTAAGTGCTCTTCTCCCAAGCTCCCATAATACACTGCACATATATTTATTTCTATGGTTGCACCTACCACATTGTATTTTAACATTCCTCTGTATCTCTGTCAGTTCATAGCATAGTTGGCTGGCCCCTGGCCTAGAATGTAGACATGGTGAAATAAGCTAATCCATGCAACCCTTTAACAGGCACCTAGGCATGCTTGACAAAGGGCATTTCTGTTCCCTCAATGCACTGTTGATGTCATTTGTGGTGCAATCATTATTGGCCCTCTGGCCCATTAGGCTATTTTCTGGATGATGGCATAAGGCACAGTCGGGACATTAAAGGTTACTTAGCCTGAGTAGTCTCTAGATTACTGGCCTTTGGTCTGCCAAAGACCATCCTCATGGGGAAGTTTTTGCACTAGGAAACCTCCTCAGGATTCAAATCCAATGGTTTTGACTCAAAATCCTGCTGTTTACATTATACAACACATTCTCAATCTTGTTTAACTTAAAAGGTGGCATAGTACAGGGGTGACTGGCATACGTGCCTATTTGACAGATAACATAAGTGACAAAAGCAGACTCAGGTCAAGAAGAGTCCCCGGCACTTGGGAAAGTCCATGCCAGGCTAGAGCAGGCAGCCACTCCTTGGCTTCAGCCAATTGTTGTCACACAGAAATGTGGACACAGTGTTGCTGGACAAAGCCGAGAGGCAGATTTCTATTCACACAGAAACTTTTCAGTTAAAAAAAAATGTTGGCAACTAAGTCAAACTGTTTAGAAATTCTAGAGACGGGATATTGGGAGGATATCCAATTGAATTGGGGTATTTACAATGGGGGAGAAATAGGTGATGGCTAACGGATAAGGGCAGCTTTGGAGAACCCTGATTGTCACACTCAAGGAACTTATACATCGTCATCTAGATCTGGGTGCACACTAAAGAATTTTAGCAAGAACAGGACACGATTAGGATGGTATTTTTAAAGGATCACTCGGCAGTTGACAGGCAAGGCTGAGAATAAAATGGTGAATGAGAAGTTTGTCATTTAGCTAAACAAGGGTAAAAGCGAGATAGCAAAGGCCTATTTACTTAGTTCTTCCTCCTACCTGACTGCAAACTCCAAGACAGCAGGGCCCCATCTGCCTTGTTCATTGCTGTGTCTCCAGCACTAAGCAAAAAGCCCGTTTGACATTTGTTGAAAGAATAAATGAATGGGAGAGAGGGACCGCGAGAGGCATTTTGAAGGTCTGAGTTTAAAAATCAGGTGAGGTGGCTCATGCCTGTAATCCTGGCACTTTGGGAGGCTGAGGTGGGTAGATCACCTGAGGTCAGGAGTTTGAGACCAGCCTGGCCAACATGGCGAAACCCTGTCTCTACTAAAAATATAAAAATTAGCCAGGCGTGGTGGCATGCACCTGTAATCTCAGCTACTCGGGAGGCTGAGGCAGGAGAATTGCTTGAATCTGAGAGGCAGAGATTGCAGTGAGCCAAGATTGTGACATTGTACTCCAGCCTGGGCGACAGACAGTCCCCGTTTCAAAAAAAAAAAGAAAGAAAGAAAGAAAAGAAAATCAACTACCTTGAGAGGAGTACAATGGTAGAATATTGGTAATTGCGGAAGCAGTCATGGAGGGGAGGGGAGCAATGGAGGCCTGTTTCCTACCTTGAACTTCCTCAAGGAGAGGGCATTTTAAAGAAGAAATTATGTACACAGATTTTTGTGTATTTTTTGAGACAGGGTCTCACTCTGTCGCCCAGGTTGGAATGCAGTGGCATGGCCATAGATCATTTTAGGCTCCAACTCCTGGCCTCAAGCAATCCTACCACCTCAGCTTCCCAAAGTGCTGAGATTACAGGCAAGAGCCACCATGCTCGGCCCTACACAGGTTTTTTAAAAAGAACTTTGTGCGTTGGATTCCTGGCACTTCACGTGGCCTCTTCAGTCTACCAAAGAAGGAAAAAGTAAGTACTCTGAATAATAGAAAGGAGGATTAAGTGATCATTGAGGGACGAGCAATTTCTGTTCCTCCCTGGGTCCAGTATTCCCAAAGGACACAGCAACAGGACCGACATCGGCCTTCGACCCCGTGAGGATTACTTTCGGGGTGAAGGGGGAACCGATGACCCTCGAGTCTACGGGCCTGTCCCTGGCGCGTTCCCAGCCTGAGCGGAAAGGGCAACCCCACCCAAACCTAACTCCTAATTCTCCCTATTTCCACACAACCCTAATCTTGACCACATCCAGCTCCGCCCTCTCTCCTCCCACCGCCTCTTCCGGCTCCCCCGCCCCATTTCCTTCTTCTCCGCCCACCTTCTGGGTCCCTCCCCCGGCCATGGGCCTTGCCCAAGCCGCGGCATCCCTGCCCTCCGCGCTTCCTCCTCCTCCTTTCCGTCAGCGCCCCTCCCGTGGGGCCGCGGCAACCCCGTGCCTCGCTTGCCCAATGAGAAGACGGCGCGGGGCGGAGCCCGGCCAGGGCCGGAGCGGAAGTGGTGGCCGGAGCGGAAGTGGAGCTGCCGCCACCGCCGCCGCGGATTCCGGATCCCGGGTAGCTGTTGCCGACGCCGCCGCTGCAGCCACTGCAGGCAGCGCCGCCGCCACCGCCTGAGGCGTGGGCTTGGGAAGGAAGCAGTCACCTCGCTCGGAGCTTAGCTCGGAAGTGTCTTTGTCCCTTGCAGCCCTCCTACGGTGAGTGAGGCGCGGGGCCCGCCCGGGGCCCCCGGGGGCCCAAACTCGAAGCCCCTCTCTGGCTGCTGCGACTACGGCGGCCCAGCAGGTGGACCCCGGGGTGTAGCGGCGCGCTGCCTCTTCGGCTCGGCGCGGCCAAGGGCCGCGAGGCCAGGCCTCGTAGCGGCCCCTCCCTGCTTCCGGGGCCGGGCTCTTTACCTCTTGGAGAGCTCGGGCCTCCCTTGCCGCCTGAGGTCCTGCCGGCCGGGCGGGGTACAGCTCCGTACTGCGCTGGAAGAGACAGCGGAGCCGGGGATCCCGGATACTCCCTCACTACCTGCTTCGGTTCCCACGCGACCCCTCCCTGCGCCTTGGTAGGCGAGAACCGTCCCCTTCAGCCCTGTCACCCCTGCTTTCCGGTTTCCAGAAATTAAAATTTACTCAAACGCGGGTGAATTTTTTTTAGCCCCAGTACCCCTGTTTGACTCCTCCTGGATGAGTAAGGGGTTTAACCTTGGGAAACAGCAAGGGGAAAACCCCCTCCCATTTTGGAGTAAAACCATTTCATCATCCTTCACTGGTTATGGAGCCTGGCAGGACCCAAGATTCCCTAGGAAGGGAATTGGGGTTTGACTCAAGAAAATGTATTTATTGGAGCTGGTTACTGAGTCAGGCCGGATCCCCAGGAAAAAATATCAGGGGATGAGAATCGGAGTATTTTCCCACGGTATACACCGTCATTTAACGCCAGATTCTTTTGTGTCCTCACCCAGAACTCCCCCATATTGTGTGTTAGCACGTTTTTCGGTCTGAAATTTGCCTGGTGGCTTCCTGGTCGGGGGAGAGGGGATGAAGGGTGAGGGGAAAGAAGAGGTGGGAAAATGAGTGCATCTTTGCCGCAAATGGAGAAGCCCCATATAATGGGGTTTTCAAAGGTGGCAGCCTTGGTAAGCAGTTTGCCAACCTTTCTGTGAAATGCACGTCTATTGTCGCTGTCTTCACCGCATTTCTCTTTGGTAAGGCTAGATAGCATCAGGTTCTGATTTTACTTGCCCTGTGTGGGAGATGGAATTTGGCAAGATGATGCTGTGAACATAATATCAGCCTGCCACAGGAGCCAAAACAGAAAGGTGAAGCACTTATAAGAATATGAAAATTGTCTGCATTTCTCTGTCAGTTCCTATGAAACCAGACACATGCAGTTTATAGAACTGGACACTGTAGCTTTTGCATTTTCGTATTGGAAATGTAAGTATTGGTTCTTAGTGAATTGTTTTTGAATTCCAGTGTACCCTGTTTCTTACTTAGGGATATCTCATTTGTTTGAGCCCTCATTTTTCTTGGATCCCCGTCCTTGGCCACGCGTAGTGTGTGAGTGTATAAAACCTGTCAATCTTACTGGACCTAAGTTAGAAATTTAAGTGTGGCCTTCAAAATGGAAGGCTAATAATCCGGTAGCAACTGTGGAATTATTTTCTTAGCGTCTTCCTTCAGTAAGGTAAGAAACCATTCACCCATCTTGCAGATGAAGTCTTTAGAGAAGTGAGGTGATTTGGCCTAGACCATACACCTAGTTTTTTTCAAATTGAATATTCTTACTCATCAGTAGCAAATATTTATGGTATGCCAGCCTCTGGAGTATGACTCCTACCCTGTAATCTTTTGTACATTTCCCATCTTACAGTGCTTGTTATATTGAAGCCATTTTAGAATTGGAGCACCATAGATCAGGGAGGCAGCCTCTATAAAACCAGGCTGAGCAAATTCCCATGATGCTGGTTTTCTAGGCAGAGTCTCCAAGATTTGGGCCACAACAAAAAGTGCATTTTGCCCATTTGGCGGTGGATAGAGAAACAGGAAGAGCACTGGACTTGGAGTCAGGTAAATTTTGGTTGAAATCTTGCCTGCAGTATTTCCTGGCTTTCTGAATCTTCAGCATGTTAATCAATCTCTGGTTCTTAGTTTTCTTATCTCCAGGGTTGTCACTAAGACTTTTTTATAAACTGTAAATTGTTTTTTTTTTTTTGAGACAGAGTTTTGCTCTTGTTGCCCAGGCTGGAATGCAATGGCGCGATCTTGGCTCACTGCAACCTCTGCCTCCTGGGGTCAAGTGATTCTTCTGTCTCAGCCTTCTGAGTACCTGGGATTACTGGCACATGCCACCACAGCCAGCTAATTTTTGTATTTTTAGTAGGGACGAGGTTTGATCACATTGGCAAGGCTGGTCTCAAACTCCTGACTTCAGGTGATCCGTCCACCTCGGCCTCCCAAAGTACTGGGATTGTAGGCGTGAGCCATCACGCCCGGCCCAGAGTTCAGTATTAAAGGCTTTTTCTCGCCAGTTAACATCTGATGAGACTAAACCCTGCTTTGTACACATGTTGCTTTCAAAAACTGATATATTATTATAGGACTTTATTTTGCACACAGGAAAAATCCAGTCTTTCTGAATCATTTTCTCATCTGTGTAGCGCAAATGGTAATGTAGCCTTTGATATATTTATGTCGTGGCAAGCTCAATAATGAGAATAAGCATCTGGGATATAGTTGAGGTTCAGTAGATGTTATTTGACCATGTGCATGAATATACACATGTATAGATTAGACATAGCATGTATACTATTCATGGACATCTATATAGAATCCATCCGTTTGTGATTTATTCACCAACTGATACGGTGGCATCAGACAATTAGTGTATAATAATAGTTACTACTTACAGTACTTACTATGTACTAACCTTTTTTAAAAAACACTTTAAGCATATTAGCTCAGTCTTCATAGCAACCAATGAAGGGTAAGACTGTTAGCCCCATTTTACAGATGAGGAAGCTAAGACACTTAGAAGAATAATTTTCCCAAAATTTCACACACAGCACAAGGTAAGTGACAGAACCAGGAATGAAACCAGATGATCTGGTTCTAAGGAATGATATTATAGATTTCTACCTGTGGTAGAAACAACACATGTATATGTTTTATGAGAATACCATTTAGTCCTTAATTTTTCTTTACACAAATCCTAATAAAGTAAACGTTTAAATGGGAATATTAGCTATTTTTGAAGATAGATACAATACGATTTTTTGTGGGGCATATACCCATTCTGGCCTCTAGGGATGATATTGCTAGCATGCATCAGGAAGCAAGCTTGTGAAGAATCCCCTTTTTCTAGTAGTTGCTTCATACTAGGGAGAAAGTTATCAGTTACTTTGTCATAGAATTTTAGGTTCTTTAATAGAATTTGGTTATGACCGTTAATTTTTGTTCATTATACTACTTTATGAATTGATGTTCAGATTTTCCTTATTTTTGTGGCAAGGAGGAAATGAGGAAATATATCTACATAAATAGAGAGAAACTTCTAAATTCAGACATCCTGTTGTGCTACGTGCTCTTTTGGTGTCAACAAACTGAGTTTTCCTTTAAATGCTGGTACCTTAGAGAATGAACTAAAATTTCCTTGTAAAGGTACTTTTAAGTTCCTTGGTTTCTACATTTTTCTGGGGAAGGACGGCAATTCACATTGGTTAGGGGGCAAGAAATTAATGGTTATATAATAACAACCTTTAAGCTTTAGAATCCTTTTACTCTATATGAATGTGATCTTAGCAGTCACCTGTATGTCATAATGGAGAAACTAACAGTTGGAGCTAGATTCTGAGCGAATTTTTCTAAGGGGAATACTTGAGGAAACGTAGACTTAATGTGCTTTCTGTTTCATGATATGTGTGCTGAAAGCCAATCATATTACTGCTTTCTCTACTAAAATATTTTCTAATAGAGGTATGGTTATGTGTATCTAATACTTGTAATGAGATGCAAATGATCAGTGGCCTCAAGTCATTCCCACTAGATTATAGTATGTTAGTTGACCTTTTTATTTTATTTTTAATTCTAGCTAGTTCTTTATGATATAAGTTTTCCCCATACTGGTTAGTTTATTTTATTGTTTTCCCTAAGAGAACCAACAGGAAGTTATTTCTGAGTATCCTTGACCAGGACAAGAAGATTGAAGGCTACAGTAAAATGGACATGAGTTCTGTCTATAATTATTATTTGCCCTCAGATAAGAGCTTTACTGTAAATTTAAAAATTTGTTTAAAATTTGTTTGACAGTTTGATGAGTCTTTGGCATGTTTTTATGCTGTTTGTAACTCCTTGATTTTGTTTTTATTTTTAAAGCTAGATCTATTAGCTTAATAGGCCAGTTTAAAAATTTTCCTTTGATAACCTTGTATCATTCTTTTAAAAATTGACAATTCTCTCTTTTCCTTAAGTGACCATTGGAAATCATAATTGATCTTTAGAAGATAGAGCTGCATAAAGGAAAGAGCGTTAATTTTAAAATTAATGTCGGTTTAGATCCCAGATCTGCCATATATAGCTGTGTGACTCTGAATGAGTTAACTTTTTGCATCTATAAAAGGGGACAATGTCACCTGCCTCATAGGATACTTAGGGTCAAATAAGTTTCTAGGAATCCATGAGTGCTTTGCAGGCCGTAAATGAAGGATATTTTTATTATTTACTAAACAAGTTAGCTGGTTTGCCTTTTTGTATAGCTAACTGATTGGACTTTTGAATGGAGGAGATGGATAGAAAGTAATCCAAAGACTTGTTGAAACTCAGTTTGAATCTATAAATACAATGATTGGTAGCTGAAAAATATTGGTCAAAACGTATAATGTTGCCTCCTGATTAGAGCTGAGCTGGCTTTTTTCAAAAAGCAGTCTAAGACTGTAAATGCAGTCTGTATTTTATAGGTCAGTTGGGGGCTACCTTCCTCTGTCCACATAGGAAATAATTGCTTTTTCACCTTTTAAGAATGTATCAGTTGATCAAGTACTCACTCAGTGTGCTAGGCCTTGTGCTCCACATTGGGTGTCCAAAGATACGACTCTATTCCTACCTTAAGCTCACAATCCAGTATAGAAGCCAGCAAAGACACTTGCAGTAAACTGTGATGAGGGCCATTTTAGAAGTAGGCATAGGGAAGTTGTTATGTGCCTTTCTTTTAAAAGTCTTAAAAGAAAGGATAGTATGTGTAAAAGAACGAGATACATAGTTTCCCATCACTGGCTGACCATTTGTTTTTTAAGTTTTGTGTGGAATGTACTGTGGTTGCCATTATCTGAGTGCTTACAATGTGCAGAGACTGCTGAATGTTTTACATCATAAACAAGTTTACTCCTTACAGGAATCCTAATAAGTCGATTTGCCTATCTTTTTTTTTTTTTTCTTTTTGAGAGTCTCGCTCTGTCGCCTTGGCTGGAGTTGCAGTGGTGTGATCTCAGCTCACTGCAACCTCCGCCTCCAGGCTGCCTCAGTCTCCCAAGTAGCTGGAATTACATGCACCTGCCACCATGCCTGGCTAATTTTTTTATATTTTTAGTAGAGACCGGGTTTCACCATGTTGACCAGACTGGACTTGAACTCCTGACCCCAAGTGGTCCACCCTCCTTGGTCTTCCAAAGTGCTGGGATTACAGGCATGAGCCACTGTGCCCAGCCCAGATTTGCCTGTATTATGGATGAGAAAACAGATTCACAGAGGTCACATATCCTGTGGACTTGGTGTGCCGTACTGGTAAATCCAACTGATTGGCCTCATTATGTCAGTGGGCCCCAGACCGTAGAATATTCATAGGGTCAACCAATTGGTCTGTCTTTATGGATCAGAATTAACATGTTATCTTTTGGGTTGATCACTTAAGGCCAATAAATCAATTTATTGTCATATCTACCATTAAGTCACATGAGTAACCTTGGGCCTATCACTTAACACCCTCAGTAAGTTTAATCATGGCTAATTGGACATAATTAGCAATGATACTCCACAACTGATATGAAAGAGGGAAAGGATTTTGAAATAACAGAAGTGCAGTTTCTCTCCAGATTCAGTGTTCACTGGACATAGTGCCAGTGACTTTGTATTACAGATATGCTGTGTGTTGTTTCTAACAAAGAACCTGCAAATGTTTGAATGGAATTAAATTTATTACAGGACTCTAATTTTATGTGTAGAATGGCACACAGACATTTTTAGAGTGGGTGTTTTTTAGTGAGTAGTTTTCTTTGAGAGCCAGGAGTGCTTGACTTTTTCTGGGTAACACCCACTAACCACCTGGTCCCACTGACTTTCTCAGTCCCTCCTTCAGTAGCTTGGCATCTGATTTTTCTTCAGCTGAGAGACTCCAGAACTATAACTTCTACTTTACAGTGCTGTGGATACTCTATCTGGAATGGTACATCTATGAATGCTGTTTAGAATATGTGATCAATTCCTTACCTCATTGAAACATTTGAGCCTAGATTTTTCAGATTTTCCTGTCAGTTTTTTTTCCTTGGGATTGATACTTGTTGTGATTTCTTTATCCACTTTGGCCTTTGATTTTTATTTCCTCTAGAAAAACATACATGTACTTTATTAATAACATGTCTTTTAAGTCATGACCTAGTTACCTTTAAACTAAACCTCTTTCCTCTAATTCTGTCTGGTTTTCCAAGAAGCGCTGTAACCCTTAAAAATGTTGTTTTTTTTTTTTTTTTTTTTAATTGATGCATAATGGATATGCATGTGCTGTTTTGTGTTTCTACCACTAGAGTTTAAGCTCTCTGAGGGAAGGACTGCACTGGTTTCTTCTTTTAAATTCCTGTCAATGAACAATCCAAAGAGCTCTTAGAAATATTGGTAGTTTTTCATTTTGCAGTTATTTCAACACACATTGGGTTATATGTGTTACATTTTTGTGAGGTAGCTTAAGAATAAAGAATAAGAATAGCTTATGAGCCTTTAACCAGCATTATATGGCCATTTTATGTTCATTATCTTATTTGATAGCTATTAATACCTGCTTTTAACACCGAGAAAACGGATTC